TTGTGAGGCTTAAAGATAACAAAAGCATCTAGACTCGAACCTAGCCCTGTGAAAATGCTTCTTAAAAGTATTGCTTTGCCGCTTCCTGTTACCTTCTCTGCCTTTTCCATTAATTGGCCATCTTAGCCAGCTCTTAATGATAGTAAAATTCTTCATATCATAAACTACATACTTAGGACTCAAAATCCAGTTTGAAAAGAAAATCAATGTAAGAATGAATAAAAGTCTATTACAGTAAATTCAAACTCGTAAATAAATGAATGAATCAGTCATTACTGTTAGCAAAAAACAAAGTATGAATTTTATGAACTATACAGTAGTTCTGTGTTAATAACGAAAAATTAATCTAGAATGTCTTGGCAAGTTCTGTGAGATTTCCTTGTTTTTTACTTATGTAGCCAGTAGGCATTTGAGTTGCAATTTTTTGTTTTCTACCATTTCTTACAATCATTATATTGCAAAAGCAGTAGCAGCATGTACTAGTTAACATAAGCTATGGAGTAAAAAAGGTTTTTGCTATATGATTTAATAACCATATAACCTTGGGAAAGTTACTTAACCACTCTGCTAATATTTCCTCATTTGTGAAAATGATACTTATCTCTGAGGGTTATTGTAAGGATTAAATGAGTTAATACATAGAAAATGCTCAGAACAGTGCCTGACACATAGTATGAAGTTAAATATTAGATGCTGCTTCTGGTTTTGTTATTACTGGCTGTGGACTTGTGGCAGTTATTTAATTTCTCTAAACTTCAGTTTTTTTCACCTATAAAATATCTACATCGTTGGTTACTGGAAGGAGGAATAGGCATGATGTATAAAAAGGCCCAGAGCCCCCATAAATATTAACTCATGTTATCACTGCTCTGACTAGCAAAAAGGCCCAGAGCCCCCATAAATATTAACTCATGTTATCACTGCTCTGACTAGGCGAAGGTGGTGGTGCTGCTGACAGTGCTATAAAATTCTCAGTTCCATAAATTAGAATGAACAAATTAGTAACATTTAGTTCCCAGTAACAAAGTAATTAAGAGAATTGCAGCTTTTTTTCTATGATTAAATCCCAGCCTTTACTTTTCAGACCGTGCTACAACAAGTAATCAAAGATGGTTCAGAATATGGATTAAAAAGTGAGCTTTTCTCTGGTCTTTCCCAGAAGAAGATAGTGGTTGAATTCAGGTGAGTATGTCCTCATCTTATGTGTTAGTTAATCAAGCTGACTGGGCAGGTGAGTGTTTTACCATTATCATCTGAGGTCTCACAAAATTACACATAGAAAAATTGAAAACCAATGAGATTATATTGTTTTCTTAAATTTACAGTGACTTGATCATTAAACTATGAATAAAAGTTTTGGACTCCAATGAAAAAAAGTTTAATGATTATTATGAGCTCGTTTTCTTTTTGAATTAAGTATTTAACACTTTTTTGGAAGAATGAGTTCATTTTACTAACCTTTTTTTTTGCTTTGGTAGACAGTTTATCAAATATACTACATTTGTACCTTACTCTGTAGTTTTTTAAATCATTCACACATGAACTTAGTTAAAACATACTTTATAGAAAACCATCTGCAAAACTAAAGTAAAAATAAGAATGCACATTTTACACACATATTAGATGAACTGCTGAAAATGTTAGAAGTTATTTTAATATTACTAGACTCATAGCAGTATAAATGGTTACTACCATATTACAAATTTTAAAGTAATTTGATTACCAGAAAACAAAGCCTTATAGTATTTGTAATGTATAATTTTAAAAATTACCAGAAAATATCCTGAAGTTTTTTAATATGCCTCTAAATAGTCTTCATAATAACTTTCTGATATGGTATCAGTACAACCATCTAGTATTTGAACTGTTTTTAAGTAACCCAAAAAGAAAAGGAAGCTTTCAGAGAACAGTTGACAGGTTGACAGCTCATGAAAATTATCAGAGATACTGAATTTGACTTCATAAAAGCTGAAGAAGAGTCTTAATGAACTGTTTTTCCCACTTAGAAAGATAGAACTTACTACAGCCTTTTATTTTCTTAAGTATCTATTACTATGGAGGTTTAAAAAAAAATTGATATAGTAAATATGATTTCAGGTTCCTTGACTCATTATTATAATTTATGTTGATAACTTAATTCAACTTAGTTATGATTAGTACCTGGATAATCAGAGGTGAGTAGGTTTTATGGATTCTACATTTGTACTCTCTGTCATTCATTTGTGTTCTTAGAAAAGGCAGATCTTCTAAGACTCATCTGTTTATCATAAGGACTGATTGCTAAGTAAACTAATGTTCTTATGGAGCAATCAGATATTATGAATAAATCTTATACTCCCAATACATTCAAATGTTTGTTGCATCACAGAGAAGAGAGGGGCTTCATGTGGTCATCCTTATATCGGAGAGGAGCTACACTAAGGCCATCCCACAAAGAAAGTTGCCTGTCATTTTAGTTATCTCCTCTTGCATAACAGGCCACTCCAAAACTTAATACAGGGATTGGCAACCTTCAGCCCATGGGAAAAATCCAGTCTGCTATATGTTTTAGTAAAGTTTTATTGAAACACAGGCTTGCACATTCATTTACATGTTGTCTACAGTGGTTGCATTCATACTACAATAGTAGTTGGGTAGAGTTGAGTTAAATAGTTGAGATAGAGACCAGGTAGCCTGCAAGCCTGAAACATTTACCATCTGGCTCTTTATGAAAAAGTTTGCCAACTCCCGATTATTGTCTTAAAGCAACCATTTTAATGTTCATGACTCCATAGATCAAGAAATCAGGGATGGTTTAGTTCAATGGTTCTTTTACTTACCCGTGGTCAGTTATGTAGCTCTTTATCTAGAGATTGTACTGGGGCTAGAAATCCAGGTGGCTCATTTGTGTGGCAGCTCACCTGAGGGCTGGCCAGGCATCTCTCTCTCCACATTCTCTGCAGCAGAGTAGCCAGACTGCTTTTAAAAGGTGCTCAGGACTCCAAGATGGTAAAAACATATGATCTTGAGATAGGCACAGCATCACATCTGTGACATTCTCCTGGTCAAAGCAAGTCACAAGATAAGCCTAGATTCCAGGGGAAAGAAAATAGACTTCATCTCTTACTGGCAAGAGTGACAAGAGATTGTGGCCATCATTAATTCTTTTCATTCATGTCTTTAAATTAATGCAGGACACTTTGCCTTCTTTTCTGGGGAGACACTTCAGTACCATACTATCACAATCCTTGCTATTACCTAACCAGCAGTAAAGGAAAATCATCAGGGAAGTGGTGTAGAATCTGTTTTCATGCATACATGCATGCTTGAAATAATGCCATTGTAAGTTTCGTGAAGTTTGAAAAGTTGTCACCAGTGCTCAATTCTAATATCTTCTTCCTCATTTCACTTTACCATCTTTCCTCCCCAAACAAACTCAAAATACCAAGACTTCAGTCTTCCTTATTCATTGATTCTCTGGCTTTTCTCCTACATTTTTGTTTCCCATATAATGCTCCTATTTGTTTATGCTTGTTACAAATGTCTAAAAATAACCTGTTCTATTTGAATTGTATTCTGTAGGCTTTTTGAATGTCGGTTTATTTGCTTCTGTATTTGCCCCTCAGCTTTTTTCTAAAGCAGTTAAGGAAGGCTGGAACTTAAGCATCTGAATGCTGATGAAGGCGAAGTCTATTTCCCAGCAGCCGTCTTCGCTCTCTGTTATTTTCCATTTGGCATTGCTGTGAGAGCATCGCTGCTCCCTCCCTTAGAAGTTTTCTAGCTGCTGTGGTACTTACCATTGTATTTTCAAAGTAGAGACAGACAGATGGGGGTGGGGGGACGGAGGCTAGGGTCAAAATGAATGGAAAATATTATTCTTGAATTTCTTCTAAAAATGAGAGAGGTGGAAGAAGATAATTTTTTAAATATGTAGCATCTTAAATAGACCAGGCAACTTTACCCCAAAAAGCAAGAGATGTAATCACTGTGTTCAAGAAACTGGAGATGATGATGGTTGATGACAGGTCAAGTAAGTTGCTCAGGGTCATAGAGCTGACTCTGAAGCCTGAATACTTAACCTTGACTGCCTCCCTGTACATAGTGTCAGTTGTCATATATTTTATCAGATTTAGGAGCAGTGTGATAAAGTTCCAGGGTAGATGACTGTCCATCATAGATGGGCTGTAAAACTCAAAGGTAATTACTGTCACCTCTCTCCTCTCTGCAAAGTCAGCCTCTTCTATTTTGTTCAGATTCAGCCTGCAGGAGGAGCACAGTCAGCAGTAGTAGCTTTTCCTTTTTCCCCAACAGTCTTCTCCCACTTGCTACTGTTCCCAATGTGAAGTGTTCTCACAAAACAGATTGAGGACTTCCGATTGGAAAATGAGACTCCAAAAGATCAGGGTACCAGTTCTGACTGTTAGTAACTGATTCGGTGATCTTGGATGAGACAGCTTTTTCCCTGGTCTCTTATCCAAAAAATAAGAGCAATAATATGTGTCTTTTCTTACAAGATTGAGCAAATTACATGAAATCATTTTTTACAAGTCCCAATAAGGTGTCCAAATTCATTCACTGTGGCTTTGGTTGCCAAAGGAGTTGAATTTGTCTTTTCCATTTCATTTCATTGTGTTCCTTTTCCAGTAGAAAGATGGTGCCAGAGAATGGCAAATTGATGATTTCAAGCAACATTTTGTCAAGACTGAAGACTTGGATATACCTAGTTTGAAAAAAAATCAAAGATTACAAAAGGATATTCAGTGAAAAGTCTTCTCCCCATCCCAGTTTCCTGGTTCTCTCCTTATCAGCATTTACCAATACCAGTTTCTCGTTTACCCACCTAGAGATATTCTGTGCATTTATAGACAAATCTTACACATTAGATATCGTTCTACTCCTTGCTATTTTCACTAACCAATGTATCTTATGTTCCTTTAATATTGGAACATCCAAGGCTGTTTTGTAATTTTTATTGTTTCATAGTATTCTCTGTTGATTTTTTAAATATGCTTTATTGAGGTTTAATTACATACAGTACAATACAGGTCACTGTTGTTCAACATATAATTTGATGAGTTTTAGCAAAGGTGTATAGGTCACATAACCACCACCACTACAATTATGGTATTAGAAACATTTCCTCTTTTTTCCCTTTTTTATTGATTTTTACTTTATATTATTCTCTTTTATTCTGCTCTTTTTGGTCCTCTCCTAGTTTCTTAAAAGAGAACATTAGATTATTGATTTGAAACCTTTTCTAATATAAACATTTTGTGCAACAGATTTTTCTGCTTTAGCTCACAAATTTGCTATTAAGGCAGTCTTAGGGGTCACTTTGTTCTCATCCTCTCAGGAATCACAGTCCTTCACTGTCTGGTTTCATAAAACCAGTCAGTGTCTTATATATTTTTCTGATTTTCTTGTTAATTTATCTTTCTGATATGAAAAAACTTATGAAATTTCAAACACAGAACACAATAAGTAAATCTCATGTGCTTCTCACCCAGATTCACGAGTCATCAGGATAGTGCCACATTTGCTTTATTATTTTTTTTTAACTCCTCGTTGTCTTAGTTCCTTCATTTGTGAAATTAGAGATTAGAATACCTTACCTCATACCTCTTATGAGTATTAAATGAGTTAATGCATATAACATGCATGAAACCACGCCTGTCAGGTAGTGAGTGCTCTTTGCTATTGTTAAATTATTGATTATAACTTCTTAAGCATACAGAGGAGTGATAAAGGTGTTGACTGAGAATTTGGAGTGGTGATCAGATTTCTAATTATTCTGGGAAGTTTTATGCATAAATATTTCTATATTTCTTTATTTTAATTTCTGATATAATAAATATTGCTAGATATTACCTATAAAACAAAATTTCTTTGGGGTCCTCAATAATTTTTAAAAAGAATAAAGGGTTTGTGGACTGGTGCACTAAACTTAATTCTCTATAATCAACATTGCTTGTGTCAAAACAATGTCTCTGAATTTCTTTATCAATCTTTAAATGTTTCTGCTTCCTAAATGTGCCACTTCTGTGTGTAGTACTTCCTCGTGAATCACAGTATCAGTTTCACTAAGGATGATTCTTTGAGTTCTAATTTTTCTTTGCTCTAAATTTCTAATTTTTTACTCATCTTTGCCCTAAATTGCCAAAGGCCTTAGTCCCCAGTTGTATTAAACTGTGGAGGCATGACCTAGTTCATTTGAGAACTCTTGTTCTTAGAACAGAAATATAACTTTTGCAATTATTTGCAGTTCACCTAACGTTGCCAAAAAATTTCACGTTGGACATTTGCGTTCTACCATCATAGGTAAGTGTTGATTCACAGAAAATACTAAATATGCTTTTGGGAGAGTATTTGATAATGCCGTTTAATGGTTTAATGCTTAAATAACAATAGGACAAAGAAGTTTAAATTTATATGAGCTTAATACTAATTAAATATTACATGAAATGGGAAAAATTGGTTTTAGAAGTAAAAAGAAATTTTAAACCAAAAGATTAACTCAGAAATCAGTTTTAACTGGTATGTTTGTTATGATTTTAACTTTTTAAAAATATGTATGCGTATGGAGAAGATCTGAAGGGTACAGAAATGAAAACAGTTATGTGGGGATGATATTAATCCCCCCAAATTTTTTGTCTATATATTTTCTTTTTAAAAAGAAACAATGTTATATGTCAATCGTATCTTAATTTTTTAAATCCAGACTAGAAATTAAAACAAGACTATTCTAATAGAGATTGCTACCATATGTCATAGCTATATACTTACAATTTTCATGTATTTAAAACATATAATGCAGCAGCCCAATTTAAAAACTGTAATTAGAATTGTATAATATCAGAATTGGAAGGGACTTTGAAGTTTATTTCATCTACTCTGTCTTCTGGTATAGAAATCTATCTGTTGCATGCTTAAGACAAAGCCATTTAACAGTATTTGAATACTTCTAAGAATTGGAGAAATCAGTACTTCGTGCATCAATTATTATTAAACTAGAGTCAGCTGTCATTGTTACAAAGTTCTCAAGCAGCATTTTGAGAGGAAATGACAGGACTTGATGAAAAAAGTATAAGAAATATACTATATAAGAAAAGCTACATGAGTCAGTCAAAAGTATAGGAATGAGTAAATGATGGGTAGAGCATGATAAAGTTGTTTAATAGTTATTAAGGGAAATAGTTGGACCTGGAAGAGAGAATATTTATTGAGAATTTACTTTCCATGTTAAGTGTTTCCATGTATTAGCTCAATTAGTTTCCCAAGAGCCTTGTTGGTAAGTACTATTAACTCTGGTCTATGGATGAGGAAACTCAGATACCAAAAGTAACTTTTCTAAAATCACATAACTAGTAAGTGTCACAACTAGCAAAGACTGGAAATTAGACAATCAATTCCAAAGACTAGATTCAGTCTTTTAGTTGGATTTGTAAGATAATAAGGTGCTAAGAAAAATAGGAATACAGTCTGAGTACTTTTGTAAGGTGGTTCCTGTTGCTGGGACTATACAGAGTGAGAAAGTCTAGAAGTAGGGGAGCTGGAAGAGAAGTAGCTGTAGTAATTTAAGTCATATATGCATATTTGCAGAAAAATAGAAAGAGATTTATTACAGGATATTTACAAAGTAATTTACAAAGTTGTTGGTAGTACTGAAGAAGCTTGGATTAAGCTGACAACAATGACTCCTAAAACTATACCATACCATTTGGTCATCAAGGGAGCACCTGCCTTTTTTGCAATCACTTCCACTGCTCTACAACCATGCTGCCACCGCTGTAGTCGGGAAACTGCCACGAGTCCTGCCATACCTTCTAGAATTCATACTAGCCAAAGAGCCCCATACCCAGTCTTTCAGTTACCTTGTTGGTCAGATGACAGGACAGTAGGCCCTCTATTAGTGATGTCACACACATACACACAAAGCATTCACAACTATGCTTGTTAGAAAAATAAAAATGGCTCCTTTTCCACCTCATTTCCACCTTCTAAACCTCTTGCAAGGTGTATCTGATGGCCCAAATCTAAATGATATCTGGAACCCTAACTGCAAGAGATTCTGGGAAATGTAATTTTTAGGATTCTAGCCTCTGCAGTATGTTGAGAGCACACTAGAAAGAAAGTGGAATAGATGTTGAATATCAAACCAATATCAGCAGTTCAAAGGGGTGAAGGCCTTGGACTGCTGTGTGTTGTTAGGGAGCAGGCATGAGAAGATGGACTTCAGTGATTGAAAGAAGGTAAAGTGAGCTGTTTAGAGAAAAAACAGTATGGTTCATGGTCTCAGGTTCTTTAGAGCACAGCCAAATTATCTCTTGTTAATTACTGAGTTTCTGTTATTTTCTGTTCTTGGGATTAACTTGGAGTAGCAATTACTCTACTGTGTGTTCCCAACTCTCATTAATTTTAATGAAAATTCTGTTCTTGTGAAAATTATGAGATTCTTTGGAATAACTTCCCCCAAAATAATTCCTTGCTTCCTTTCCATACATAAATGAAAACACAATAGTGAATGTTTTAGTTAAAAAAAAAAAAAAAATTGAGATGGTAAATTTTGCCAATAGAATTTTCTGTTATACTTTGATAATAGAGAAGCACATGGTTCTTACGACAGAATGGATAACAAGAAATGGATAACAAGAATGAGAAACTGTTTATTTTATTGATTACTAGGCAATTTCATAGCAAATCTCAAAGAAGCTTTAGGACATCAAGTAACCAGAATAAATTACCTTGGAGATTGGGGCATGCAGTTTGGTAAGTTTGAGATTTTATTTTTCACTGTCAAATTTAGTACTTTTAAATATCATGTCACTTGATTAGCTGGACAAAATATAGGCAGAATCTCATTAGATATAGTGCCTCTTTTTTTTTTTCCCTAATGTCTCTTTTGCATAAACATTGTATTCTATTTATTAGAGTAATTCTCACCACACAATTAAGTTTTGGGGGAGAAAGTTTCACACATTTAGAGCGACACCTGATAAATACAGGCTTTTGTGGTTTTATTAAAGAAAAGTAGCTTACATATGTGAGTTAAGTGTAGAGTGAGTATACAGGGGAAAAGTAAGTCTACCTACATACACTCTTCTCAACCACAACCCTGCCATTTTAAAACAAAGTCTAGCCACCCTCAGCCATCCTACATGAAGGGTCATCTATTGTTATACTCAGTCAGTAGCCTAGAGGGAAAACAAAGTGGACACTTTGACTTCCCTTTAAATTATACAGTGGGGGAGTGAGACCCAGACAGATGAGTGCCACAAATTACCTCCAATGTCATAAGTTTAGTTAGAACCATTCCTAGCTCATATACTCCAGTAATGAAGGTACAGAAGGGCAAGGTAAATGAAGTTACTGAGGTAGTGAAGGACTGGTAGAATGTGAATTGCAAACTTTTAAAACTTTCTGGCAACTACTATGTGTGTTTTAAGATCCAGCCCTAATGTTACCTCTGTAAAGCATTTTGATACACAGACATGCCCCTGCCCACCTTCTCACATTACCAAGTTTCTAGTACCCGGCTCTACTCAAATACATTTCTGTCTTATTGTATGCATATTTGTGTGCTTCTCTCCCTGCTAGATGATATGTTCCTTGAAGGCATGGACCATGTCTTAATTATTTTTGTATCCATAGTGCTTTGCACATAAGAGGCACTCAGAATGATGAATGATTCTGTCCTGGGTAGTATTTTATAATACTAATCGA